TCCCCACCCCCACCCCACCCCACCGTAACAGACATCGGACAATACAGAGGCTTATGTATAATTTCCTTCTGTTGTAACTCCTTGGTCAAACATACTGAAAGCTACGCTGGTGAGATCGTTTCATGAACTCCAGTCCAAATCGTATTATGGAACGTTTTTTTAACCGTCCTTCTGTTGAGTGATACTTGACTGTAGTTCCCTTTCACAACGTCCAGGTTTTACACTTGGTACACGTCTGACATTCCTGTGATTTATATGATTTGCTATATTTAAAGTATAGATAAGTCTGGGTCTTATAAACTGTGTCTCAATGCGGTAAGCATGTACAGGAATATTCCTGGTATATTGTTTAGCTTTGATTCAGTTGATTGAGGCTGGGTGTTGAGGCTCTCATCTTCATGGGGAGGGGAGGGGATAGATACAGCCCAGCATGCCATATGAGGCGCCGAAAGCTAGCAAACGAACATCCTGTACCCTTGCTTCAACCCCCAAGTGCCAAGCGGAGAGACAGAAGACCGTTTGTGAAGGTCTCAAAACTGACAGGAAACGAGCTCCGTATACGTATTCACATCACATTTCAAATGTAACCCAGGCACAAATCGTATAATGTTATATACCGGTTTTCACTCACCTTAACTCCTGCTAGTCCCTTGATTGTACAGGTATAGATAAACTGTTGCGCAATACGATGCGCCTTGGGCACATGTTTATACCGGTAGATAAAATGAGGTCAATCCGTTCAAAAATAAACATTAAACGTATGCATTAGATATGGTTCTATATTCCTCTATCTGCGTTCACACTCTTCGTCCTACTTTCCTCCGCTCTCTACCAAGTAAAAAAATCTAAGGAAAGTCTTACAAAAGCATTGTTTTTGCTTTTCAAACGAATGTTATTGAATATATCAAAACTGGGATCCTTTAGTAGGTCCCAGCTTTAAAATACTACATTAAAATACTTGGATCACGGTTTCATAATATTTCATTTTAAATTTTACCATTCGCACAGAAAATAATTCAAACACATCTATTGGATTTTTTTATTTAATGTCATGCGATCTAAAAAAATCAATATATATTTCAAACACTAGCCTTTCAAAGCCAGTGTTATCTCGAATTTTAGTTCATTTTTATTCCTTTAGATCGACTAAAGATTTGATGCTTTTCATACAACATATTAATAACACAATACCAGTCATTACTAAAAACAGGTTGGTTAACTTACAAACAACTGTGCTTTTTATCTCATTTTTTTAAAATCTATATTACAACAACAACAGCAGCAGCAATAATAACTAATAATAATAATAATGGTGGTGATTTATTGGAGCCTAAATGATACATCCGACACATTAGTAGGCCTACATGCCGTCTATCTACACAACCCCTGTGAACATTTGTCTCATTTAACGCTCACATTACGGTTCTCAATCTCTCCTAGAACATAATGTTTTTCTCTTTTAATGAAAATTGTTCTTTATCTGTTCTAAAACATTTTGAAAGACTTCCCAAAAACAGTTCTCGAACTGTTACATTCATTTCAGAACAACATTCATCATCATCATCATCATCATTTAGAGCCTATAGTGTTCCACTGTTGGACAAAGGCCTCAGCATGCTTTTTCCATTGTTTCCTATCCTGAGCCTCAGATTTCCAGTTTGGCCAAGGTTTCTTCTTCCAAGACTTCCAGTAGTCATCTAATTCATCCCTCCATCGTTTGACCGGCCTTCCTCTTTTTCTTTATCCATACCTTGGGGTCCATTCTGTAAGCCTGATTGTCCACCTATTGTCCTTCATTCTTTTGACATGTCCTGCCCACCTCCATTTCATTTCTTTAACTGTGAGCAGTACGTCCTTAACTTTGGTCTATACAAGTACCATTAGAACTGTAAAAAAATACACCAACATTAGAACTGTAAAAAAATACACCAAATGTTCTAGAATAGATTGAGAACCGTAAGTGAACGTTAAGTGAGACAAACATTCGCAGGGGAGGGCAATCTTGTCTGATTCCTTGATCTATAAAACAATTAATGCAGATCAGATGGCTGTAAAAATGAAAATATGATATAAAAATTTTATAATGCATCAAACATCAGGTACTTGTATGGACATAATTCTAAAATTATATTTAATTTTATACCTACTGTTATGTTATTACTATAAACCATATACAAATTATTACATCAAATGTTTTAGGATACTATCCATATAACAACCAGAACAGCACATAACATACGGCCCTATGAAAGGGTTGACTATACTGCTTGTGGACAACAGAATTTCGCGCCTTTTTACCTGACTTCCGTTAAGCAGTTTACCTGAGATTATCTAGGTCAAGGTGCTTGTGGATTACAACGTACTATTTATAATGGCTCCGCTACCGACACCGCAGTCTTTTGAGGAACAAGATTAAATCTAATTACCCTGCGGTGGAGGTTGAATAAGGCTTAAGGATATGGATCTTTTTCATTTACTTATTTCGGCTCGTCGGGTTTAATGCATGACATTAACTTGCACGACAAAGGTGTAGTGTAAACGTCAGTCCGCACGGATTAAGCGGTAGCCTGTTAGATTTTATGCAAACAACATGGAGGCTTCTAGACACATGTGAGCGTATATCCAGGTAGGTCGACAGTGTGGTGTTGCTGTGATGTCCTGAATGTGTGGAGTTAATACAGGTGCAATGTTCAGGATGTCATTTCGGTAGACGTGGACATAAGTCTACAAGCGCTGTACATGTAAGATACACTATTACATGGGTTCACAACGGTCCTCTCTCTCTCTCTCTCTCTCTCTCTCTCTCTCTCTTTGTGTGTGTGTGTGTGAGTGTGTGTGTGTGTGTGTGAGTGTGTGTGTGTTTCTGAAACACAGGGGCGAGCACACGGGCCTTTCTCTCTCTCTCTTTCCCTCTCTCTCTCTCTCTTATACAGACACGCACGTACGCACGAACACACACACACACACACAGGTTCACACATGTAGGCTACATGTACATGTACATGGACCTGGGACTCGTGAGGATCTAAAGTCGTACCCTACTCATATTGTTAAGCAGTTAAATGTCCCGGTAAGTACAGTTCTACGTACAGAGTTCACATTAATTCGATATTGAGCATCTCTTGCTGCAAAAATCCTATAAGATCAAATGACTGCATTGTGCATTGAGAAAATACGTATATTTAGACGGCTTTGACAGTTTTGTCTGCCCATACCTCTGATTCTTATCACACTGGACTATGAAGTAGATTTATGCCGTTCGCTTCCTGTATATAGACCCACAACACGACCCCTTTTCTCTGCGTGCGTCCCTCTCCCCCCCCCCCCCCTCCCCCCAACGACTTTTTTCCAACCATTGCAGTAAAAGCACGCTAAACAGACGGGTCAAAGGGTCCTATCCACGTATTTATTTAACATGAATGCTGACATAAACCACTAAAATATTATGTCAAACTTTAAAAAAAAACTTGGTGTTTTTAATCTGAAAGCCCCCCTTCCCCCTCATCTACTTAAAATTTGCCTTATTTTGGTTCCTATGCGTCTGATGCTTGTGTCGGTGTGACTAAAACGCGGAGACAAACACATGCACACAGTCACATTCTCTCCCTCACACACACACAGACACACACACACGCGCGCTTACCACAAGTGGCAACTTGTAGTTATGTAGTCATTTCTTTAAAATCGGTAGTCCATCATGTTTATTTATTTATTTATAAATGAAATATTTTTATGATAGAACTTGCACGTTTTAGATCGNTGATAGCTAGACTTTCAAATCACACACTTATGATTTAGACACGCAGGCATAAAAAAGGGATAGGGTGAGTCCAGGCTACCAAGGTGGAATAGAAACTGGAATACATTTTTTTCTCTTGTGTTTTTTGTACAATGACCTCAGAGTTAAAAGGCTAGGAGATATTTGTAACTACCATCTGAACAGGATGGAATTCCATTGCATTTATCAGAGCAATGGATACAGAAGACAATTTCTGCATTACTTTATTTTTAATGAATGCAGAAAAAGAATATTTCTGTCGACATATATGTAGCAGTGGCAGATTAGGGGGGTTTCAAGGGGTCCTGACCCCCCCCCCCCCTATTCGATTTCTGAAAAAATCGTACCAATGATCCCATCTTGAAATTAGAAATTTGACTAGCTGGGCTCCGTATCTCGAAAGGTTCACTATGTTGCGCACGTGCGCAAGTGTCTCGATTCCATAACCGATTCTATTTCGAGATACGGAACCCTGAATCACAGTTCTAAACCGTACCGAATGGTGACCCTGTTCATATTGAATTTTGTGTTTGGCATATCAAATTCCACTGGTTTTCATTTTTTTTTTTAATATTTAATGCTTGTTGAAAGTAACGTTGACTTAGATGTTTAATGCCCACAATTTATGTTTAATGTTATCTAATATTAATTGTAAATGTTACAGAAATAATGTGATTTGTTAATTTATTGAATCGTTTAATTAGCTATCTATTTATTTATTTATTTTCAGACAAGGAACTGCTTCAGACGTGATGAAAAAAAGAAACAACAAGTTGATATTGTCTGAAATGAAACAATTTATCATGAACTTGCCGGCTGGTTATGTGAAACGGCTGACACTGGCAGTGATACTTCTTTTGTCCTGTCTTCTCATCACAGTCGAAATATGGCAGAAAACTGCTCATGCCAATTCAAGAAACGCACGCTTCAAGAGCAGACGACTTTGGTTATCGGCAGACGACGACGTCAGTGAAAACCAATTGCCGCAAAAAGCTCACGATAATTTCGAGATAAACAAAGAGAATCTTTTTTTGAATCCGAAGGATTTGCAAAACCCTCCTAATCACGTGACGATATACGATTTCAGCCAACCGAATGACGACGTGTACAAGTGTCCGGAGCTGCGGTTACGGACAGTGAAGACTCCAATATGCATCTATTCTTATTCCGACGACGTGTATATTTCTGGCGACATCATAAAGGGGCACATCTTTGAGAGAATGCTTGTCACCCATTTCCAGGACTTGCTGATCAGCGACCCACACATGCAGTTTATAGACATCGGTGCTAATATTGGTGTGTGGTCGCTTAACGCTGCCAATATGGGACGCCAGGTGCTAGCGGTGGAGCCGTTCTTTGCAAGCTACAGGCGCTTCCAGCGCAGCGTCATTCTCGGACACTACGAGAACAACGTCACTCTTGTTACCAACCCAATCTCGAATAAACGAGAGTACGTGACTTTTAAATCTACACCGGGAAATAAAGGAGGGACATCAATAATACCAATCAGTGAAATGAAAATAGTTCCAAAAGACGCTCCAATTGTCTCAACAATAACATTAAATGATCTTGTTAGCGTCATTGACTTTAAATTTTCTAGGGCATTTTTGAAGATTGACATTGAAGGCAATGAGCTTAAGGCCCTGGCAGCATGTGAAGAATTGTTAGCAAAAATCGACATTCCCTTCATAGAACTTGAATGGGACCAAATAAGGAAACACACCAATGAAACTGCTGAACTTGTTAATCGCATGTCAGCAAAGGGGTATCTCCCCTTTAAGGACGGCTTAGTCATTCCTGGATATATCTTGGGGCCAATGAAAAACGACACAAGATGGCGTGGTATGGGTCAGTTAATGTTTGCCAAGAAAAGTTACATTGAAAAGAGAATGAATTATGTTTTAACAAAAGATTCGTACAGGTGACCCTTGTGTTTGGCATATCAAATTCCACTGGTTTTCATTTTTTTTAAATATTCAGTGCTTGTTCAAAGTAACGTTCGATAAAGATTTCGATGGAGAATTTTTTCTCACGCATGGATATATATATATATATATATATATATATATATCCTTTACTAGAGCAATTCCTATCTTTTAAAAGCATTATAGTTAAGGATCACGATATCATGTATGCTGGTAAGTATCAATTGGAAAATTGCGAAGAATGTTTGGAAAAAGAACAGTTTCCTTACTTATTACCGCCACAAACTCGTACAAATAGATCTGTTCATCCATTGAATGTTGATTGAAGAAGTTAATTTTAACCGCATCAACAAGTTATGAGA